TCTAATCCATAAACATTTACAGATAATTGATTTAATTTTTCAAAGAGTGAAATTTTATTAAATTGTATTGGAATATCTAAACCTTGTAAATTTAAAACTTGAGTATAATGCGGATATGAAGATAAACGATCACTGTGATAATTTGTTGGATACAACGCACTAACAATGCTCCAATAAAAACATGCCTCATCATAATTATATATATTTATACATGCTGTTTTATTTGCAATTTGTTCAGGTAATCTAATGAAAGATGAACCGTTTCCGATTTCATATTTATTGATATTTATTTCCAGTGATATAATTCTACTTAGTGCCCATGATGAATCACGTTCTTGAAATTCAGATAATTTATTTAAAATAATATCCTTTATGTGTTCTTCAAACCAGTTTTTTAGGTCTGTTGATGAATCAATAAAAGAACTTTTAGTATGAAAATATTTAAAATCTGTTATTTCCTCATCATCACTATTTTTCTTTACGAATTCCCCACAGAAAGTTGAATTAACTTTAATCATATTTAAATTAAATAAGCGTATTTTATTTTGAAATAGTTGACTTGCGTCATTTAAAAATTGCAAGATATCTTTGTGTTTTAAATTTATTATTATTCCAGTTTTAATTCTATTTTGAAATATTGATTCAACATCTTCCCACCTAACTCTATTATTAGATAATTGGTTACTGAAACCTGCTCCACTTGTAGTTAATCTACTATAAATAACTTTTAAATGGCTTAATTTTGTTTGCCACATTCTAGCATTACCTACAGAAAAAGTATTTGTTCTAATGGCTTCACAACATAAATTAATAGCAATTTTTACATGTTTATTCCACAACTCTTTTTCTTGCAGAGTAAAATTTGGATATTTTTGATAAAACTTTTTAATTAATATACTAGTATCATTATGTAGTTTTTCTGACATTTTAATTAAAATTTAGAACTTACCTTAACAATTTATAATTTTAAATAAAGCTGCAGGATTTCCTTTGCCAGTATCTTTTTCTCCAGTAAAAATTATAGAACATTTGCCGTTTCCTAGTTCAGTAATATGCTGTTTTAAAACTTGGATTGACCTTTGAGGTAAAAATATAGTTTTATCTCCTTCTATCACCAATCGAATTGTATCTCCAAACTTTGTAGAAACTATTTCCGCTGAATTAATTTTGTAAGCAACGTCCTTGGTTAATTCTTTTAATTTTATTATAGGTTGAGGTTCTCCTTCTATAAGAAGATATTGATTTATTTTCGACATATTCATTTTTTCTAAAACTAATTACATTTAAAATATATATTATTAAAAATACAAAAGTTGTTACCTTATTTTTATTTAAATAATCTGAAGAACTTCGGTAAAACTATGTATAAATATATGTATAATATTTTCGAGACTTGTTTATAAACTGAATATACCACAGCAATCTGTTCACTATTTATATGTTTAAATCGCCCACACAAAAAACAATATTCATATCAACATTTAGATATACCTTGACCTTGACATTGTCCCTGACCTTGAGATTTCTTAAAATAGATTTCTTAAAATAGATTTCTTAAAATAGATTTCTTAAAATAGATTTCTTAAAATAGATTTCTTAAAATAGATTTCTTAAAATAGATTTCTTAAAATAGATTTCTTAAAATAGATTTCTTAAAATAGATTTCTTAAAATAGATTTCTTAAAATAGATTTCTTAAAATAGATTTCTTAAAATAGATTTCTTAAAATAGATTTCTTAAAATAGATTTCTTAAAATAGATTTCTTAAAATAGATTTCTTAAAATAGATTTCTTAAAATAGATTTCTTAGAATAGATTTCTTAAAATAGATTTCTTAAAATAGATTTCTTAAAATAGATTTCTTAAAATAGATTTCTTAAAATAGATTTCTTAAAATAGATTTCTTAAAATAGATTTCTTAAAATAGATTTCTTAAAATAGATTTCTTAAAATAGATTTCTTAAAATAGATTTCTTAAAATAGATTTCTTAAAATAGATTTCTTAAAATAGATTTCTTAAAATAGATTTCTTAAAATAGATTTCTTAAAATAGATTTCTTAAAATAGATTTCTTAAAATAGATTTCTTAAAATAGATTTCTTAAAATAGATTTCTTAAAATAGATTTCTTAAAATAGATTTCTTAAAATAGATTTCTTAAAATAGATTTCTTAAAATAGATTTCTTAAAATAGATTTCTTAAAATAGATTTCTTAAAATAGATTTCTTAAAATAGATTTCTTAAAATAGATTTCTTAAAATAGATTTCTTAAAATAGATTTCTTAAAATAGATTTCTTAAAATAGATTTCTTAAAATAGATTTCTTAAAATAGATTTCTTAAAATAGATTTCTTAAAATAGATTTCTTAAAACAATAATGAATATGTGAGGTTGCGTGGAAATTGCGCGAAACGGGGCTTTGTGTGATTGGGTCATGTGGGTTGTGTGTGGTCTGTACATGACCTTGTCCGCGTGTGTACGGGCACGTGGGTTGTGTGTGGTCGGTGGCTGAACTTGTCCGCGTGTGTACGAGCATGTGGGTCGTGCGTGATCGGTGGCTGAACTTGTCCGCGTGTATACGGGCATGTGGGTCGTCCGTGACCTTGACCCTGACCTTGACGACCTTGACCTTGACCTTGACCCTGACCCTGACCTTGGACTTGGCCTTGACCTTGACCTTGACACGTGGGATCCTTATCTCTCTTATCTTCCTTATCTCTCACTTCCGGTGGGGAAATGGTATAGTTTATCTACTGGCGTGGGTAACCAAAACTTCACAGGCAAGTGCAATAGGCCAACTCAGGCATTCAGCGGCTTGCCAGTCTAAGTGCTACTGGGGCCTTGCGCACTACGCCGACTGCAGCAATGGAGGTATTATTAAATCTCACGCCACTGCACATCTTCAAACAAGGAGAAACCAGGTCAGCTATTCAGAGGCTAATGCAGGGACCCAATAAGCCAACTACATAGCGCCGACCACAAAAGGCTATATCAGCAAGTAAAAATCGATAATATTCTAGCTATGCCGACTGATAGAGCCATAACCACATACATATTTGAAAGAAATTTTCAAATTCAAATACCAGCCCAACAATCCTGGAAACAGGAACCTTCCGTACAGGCTGAACTCATCTGGTACACAGATGGTTCAAAAACCAAGGAAGGAGCCGGTGCTGGAATCTATGGACCCAAGTCGAAAATAACAATTTCGCTGAGTTTAGGAAAATATGCAATAGTGTTCCAGGCTGAGCTAATAGCCATACAACACTGTGCAAGAGAAATATTAAATCAGCAAGTATCAGGCAAAACTATTGCCATATACTCTAATAGCCAAGCAGCTCTAAATGCAATTCTCTCACCAGAAATCAAATCTAGACTGGTGAAAGACTGTCTAGAAAGTTGCTAAGGCATTGTGCAAGGCATCCATTAAACAATGGATGCAAAAAGAGTCTCAGGAATGGTGGAACAACTATCCAAGACTGAGATAGGCCAAGAACCATTGGCCAAATTCACGAAAGACCTATTAGATTAAAAGCGCCAAACCGTTAGCATAACAGTAGGCCTTCTTACTGGACACTGTCGCCTCAAAAGGCACATGAATGTCATCAATCCAGCAGAAGCAGCAACTTTGTGCAGGTTCTGTAAAGAAGAAGAGGAAATATCATTCCACGTCCTGTGCCAATGTGAAGGCCTGGCTGGAATGAGGTTTCTAACATTGGGCGAAGAAAAGCCAAATGCATGCAACTACATGCGGGAGCCACTCTTAAAGCTACTAAGTCTAATAAAAAGACAAGGCTAGACGACATACTCTAAAACAAAGGGAGTCCCACAATAGATCTGAAAAGGTCGCGGTGGTCAAGGACAAATAACGTCCAACTCCTAATCTAAGACCAACAAATCTATATCCTCGCCGACGATCTTCACTAATTTGTAGGAAGAGGATATGGAAATGGCTGTGGTTACTAATAACTTATCTTTCTCTGCCTCTAATGTTAGAATTTTGCTTTCCGCACCCACGTGGTACTGGCGGTAGCATGTTAGTTTGAATATTAAATCGGTTACACATGTTTTTGTTGTACTGTTTCTTCCGTGATATTAGTTGCAAATTAGTTGCAAAATTGTGTTATATAATTTAATATATGTTATGTTACACATAGAAGTAAAAACAAAACACACTTTCTGTAAAAATCTATCAGACAACTAAAAGAAATTGTAATACTTCCTTTTTTTTTTTAAATTTTGCAAACTATCTGGCCTACCAAAACCAAATTATATAATTGTTTACTTACCTCAACAACTTTGAACAGCTGTGTCTCAGGAACTATCAAGTGTAAATTGATATAATTGGTCTCATTTTGTTGGGAATTTGGTGGACTTTAATAACTAAAAAAAGTTACTTTTCCAATAAACCCCCTACTTAGGGGTAAAAATTGTCGAAGACTAAAAAAATTGTAATACTTTTTTTCTCATTTAATTGCAAATTTAGGCTACTTAAAAAGTGTCCATAGTAACTTTTGCTGTAACGTAGGTCCTTGGTGGTAAAAATTGACAAAAACGGAAAAACTCCTAAATTTTAAAGAAATTTCAAGTATTTAACTGTTATCCGAAGAGCTGTAGAGGTGAAAAACTTGGATTTGTCATTACCCATTTCATCACTACCAACTCATAAAAATATCAGAACTACCTCATTTGATGTAAGGTACGATTTCCATGTACTAAATAAGCGAGGTGTAAACCGGAGGTGAATTAGGAATTAGGTGTACAAAAGAAGAGAATTTAGAGAAATTTATAAGGCATTTGAGGTATTTACGGGCTATTGTAAATTTAATGAAAATTAGAGAAATTCAAAGAAAATTGGGAAATTAAAGAAAATTACAAGAATTGTCGAAAATAAAACATTACTGGACTTCGGAGGAGTGATGTGGTTTTTGTAGCCCGGGTCATGATACGGGTCTCCTTATATAAATAAAAGTCAATGCCTACGACTATGTATTGCATACTCATGTTTGATTCTTTTAGGTTTAGGTTTCCTTCGGTAAGTTTCCTTATCTCTCACTTTTCTCTTACAAACTAATAGTTTAGATGGTACTGCATCTTTCTTCAACTTCATCACTAATTGGCCTTGTTTAGATTTATCCCTTGGTTTCGTCCATTTATTCTCGAAACATTCATCTTTAAAATGTTTTTGGCACACTCTAGCTAAAATTAAAATTCAAATTTAATTGATCCATATTATTATCTAGATTATATCGAAATAGTTTAGAGCCGCTTACACTAAAAGAGGACGCGAATTTGCGGAAGTTGTTCAATGGGTAATATGTATAAAAGTGAGTAGGTGCTCGTCAGTAGCTGCTCCATAATTGAAGCGAGTAACTGCTCATGTTCTCAGTTGGTACTCTATTTTAGTACGCATGAAGTTTTAAACACCAAATTGAGAAGGCACTAGTTATATACATAGAATTGCGAGGCCTTACCCCGTTGGTCTCCGTTGTCTGGGAATGTCGGATGATGTTTGGCTAGTTGATGATTGATGAACGGTAGTAGAATAACGAGACTTCAAAATGGACCATGCTTACTGCAGTAAGTTATATTTGTAAATATTATGAATGACTATTCCTTGTTGTTAGAGAAATCAAATAATGTAGGTACCCTATATTAAAAATCTGATGTGTCCAACACATGACTTTCCTATCTAGTTATTATAGGCTTTTTCCGGTTATTTGGTACAGCACCTCCGTAAATGTTTAGAGAATAAACTAAATATATGTATTTTCCAGATACATCTAACTCGAAACATTTTTCTATATATATTCATTGAAAACGAAAATACTAAAAAATTTAAATTTTACAGTTTTCCTCCAATTTTTCCATTACAATACATTTTAGAACAATCATGTAAAAACAAAAATTATAGAGATCGATATCGCAAACAATTTTCTTAAAAATCAGAATTTTGCACATTTTGTCCAATTTCTCGAATACGGACCATTTCAGAAAAATTTGGTATGAGGCAAAAATTATAGAGAATATTATTAGAAGTAACTTTTATTTGAAGAATTTTCTTCTCCAAACGTAAATAACAGGTGTATTTCATAAAATATAAAAATGACCCTCTATAAAGTACCCCTCCTTCAGATGCCTAAAATCTAATTAATTAAATCACCCCAGGCCGGAATAAAGTTTAAGTAAAATTTAATATTTTTTCTTTATGCGTTTTTGAGTTTTCTTCAAGATTCAAAATTTACACCTTTTATCAAATATCTCGAATACGGTCCATTTTAGAAAAATTTAATAGTAAATAAATGTGGTAGGCTATGTAATTTTTTCACTATTCATAATTGTTTTGGCATATTGTTATAATTTCATTGTTTTTTCTTTGATGTTGTAATTTTAAGATTAAATTGGTATGGCGTTTTCAAATCAAAAATCAGCTGATAGTTACATTATTTGTGGATGCTATTCGTAGAGCAGCGGGAGACATTTTAAATAAATAATTTAATTTAATGTCTGATAGTTATACAAAAATAGTCAATTTATAAAACATAACGTTACTTAATCTAACATGCTCGATATTTTATGCTTCACGCTCCCTTAAATTTAATATTAGATACCCATAACCATAACCCCAAAACGTAAATATCCGTCGAATACTCGAGGTCGAAAAAAAAATCATGTTTCCTCTACTTTCCTTATCTGTATACAGATAGAAAAGTAAAAATAAAAAATCAAACGTATAGAATTGATATTCCTCATGTTATTCAACTCGATAGAATAAGTTTTGTTTAAATACTAAACTGAAAACCAAGAATTTCAGTGCAGGCAAGTTACAACTTCTGTAACTTTGAAACACAATTTTTCGGAACCTGCTGGACAGAAGATAACAAATTAGGGTACCATTGGAAAGATAATTAAACGCCCTTTAAAATGATGTGCCACTTGACACCTTTTCTCATTTAAGGGTAACATCTACCCTTTCTAGGAGGTTGAGACACGAGTGTTACAAGTATTCATTGTAGGTGTTCCCATTGAATTTACCGGTTTTTGCGATTTTTCATATTATTTACTGGAAGGAAGATATTTAGGGTGGGAAGTTTTCGGTGGGTCACCCTGTATAATTCATTTATTTAATAGAAAAAATAAATGTGTACATTATTCGGTTTTAATGTATGTACATTATAAATCAAGTTTAACCAGCTATCACTCAAATAAATTGAAACCCTTCAATCTCAATTTATTTGGATGAAAACATCATAAACAATTATTACAAATCAAGTTTAACCAGCTATCACTCAAATAAATTGAAACCCCCCAATCTCAATTTATTTGGATGAAAACATCATAAACAATTATTACAAATCAAGTTTAACCAGCTATCACTCAAATAAATTGAAACCCCCCCAATCTCAATTTATTTGGATGAAAACATCATAAAAAATTATTACAAATCAAGTTTAACCAGCTATCAATCAAATATTGTTGTATAAGAGTACGCATGAGTATAAGAGTACGCACGCTTATTTTTAATACATATTGCCATCTATTAAATTGTCTATGCAGTCAGTTATGTTCCAAATAGCATACGACACTGGATACAAAAATAGAAATCTACATTATCGACACACCCGTTTTAAAAATGGCCGAGAAGTGTTTGCATGGGTTGGCGATCTAATTGTTGGTGCTTGATAGTTAGTATTTTGTGAGGTACCTGCGAATGTTACAGGTTAGTAAACGTTATTGTATGTTTTTTAAAAATATTGTTATTGTTTGTGTGGCCAAAATTTAGCAAGAAGTAGGTTAACAATAAAGATATTAAGCAAAATCTAAAATTATCAACATATGCACAAGAATACGCAGTAAGCAATGCATAAGAATACGCCGTGCGTGCTCTTAGACTGCAGTGCGTAAGTAATAAAGCTCTAGTGAATATAGCATAGAAATTAACGTTTTTTTTTTCAGATTAACAAATTTGAAATATGAGCCGTTACAAAAGAAAAAGTGAGCGGAAGCTAGTGTTCACCGAAGGCAATATGGAAGAGATTAGGCAAAAAATTGCAGATGGTTTTAGTAAAAGAAGTATAGCCAGGGAAATGGGAATAAATGAAGCAACACTAAGAAAACGGTTAAAAGCAGGAACCATCCCCAGCTCCTTAGGTTACCTTTAGACGATTTAGCCCAACAAGTAAGGGACCTGGATCTTAGATTTTATGGAATTACCAAGAAAGATTTGTAAATAGCGACTTATAAGGTTGCCGAAGCTAACAAACTTCAGCACAGGTTCAGCAATATTAAAAAATGTCAGGTGAGTCGTGGGTAAAAGGGTTTTGTCAAAGACACAAAATAGTACTTTGGCAGCCAGAAAAATGTTCAATGGGTCGAATAATGGGTTTCAATAAAAGCCAGGTAGATCGGTTTTTTAAAAATCTTAAGACCCTTTATGAAAAAAGAAAAATTCAATATACAACATGGACGAAACAGGGGTATCCACAGTACCTTATAAATTACCCAAGGTTTTATCCAGCAAAGGCAAAAAACTGATCGGAAAAGTATCTAGTGCAGATCGGGGACAGCTCGTTACAACGGTATGTTGTTTTAGCGTTACGGGGACATATATTCCTCAGGCTATGATATTTCCCAGAAAAAGGATGAAAGATGAGCTCTTTTTAAATGCACCTACTGGTACCTGTAAAATGATATCGGACTCTGGGTTTATAAACAAAGAATAATTTTGTCAGTGGTTGCGGCATTTCAAGAGTTACAGCAAACCTAGTGCCGAAAATCAAGTATTGTTGATCCTCGACAACCATTCCTCTCACCGTGATCTAGATGCAATAGACTTCTGCAGGGATAACCATATTGATTTATTCTCCCTACTACCTCATGCAAGCCACAGGATGCAACCGCTGGGTGTTGGTTTCTTTGGCCCATTAAAGTGTGCTTACAGTCGAGAGTGTGATAAGTGGATGGTAAGTAACCCTGGAAAGGTAATAACGCAAATGCAAGTTGCCGGACTATTTAACCAAGCTTACACCAGCGTCGCCAATATTGGAAAATCAGAAAACTCATTCAGAGCTTCCGGAATATATCCCTATGATCCGGATCAGTTTAACGATGATGATTTTGCCCCTTCCTGTGTGACAGACGCACTCATCACTACGTCAGACGCACCCATTAATACGATAGACGCACCCAATTATACAGAGAGTGGCCAGCTCAATGATGAAGTCGTGGTGGAAATAGATGATCCCGAACCTTCCACGAGTATTCCGATACATGCAACACCTCCACCGCTGGATATTGCCAGCCTTGATATAGTCTGTGAAGACGGGGTACTTATATCAAAGAATTCGGCTACTTTTGAGGAAGAGGCTTTAAATCGGTCGATCCTAGCTTCAGAAATGTTACCTTTGCCGCAAATAAAATAAAAACCAAATCGCTCTAAATCAAGATCACAAAAATCCGAAATAATCTCTAGTACTCCATTCAAGCATGAAATTGAAGAACTTTCCGGTATTAAGAAAGGAAAAGAAGAAAAAAAATTGAAACAGCAAAGAGAAAACTAGTTGTTACTGGCTCAAAATATCTGAAAACAAAAAAGTTAAAAAAGAAAATTAATAAAGGTGTCGAAAAGGATGAACGTTGCCCAGGATGTGGAGAATTGTACTCAGAATCTTTTGAAGATAATGAATGGATTATGTGTTCTTGGTGTAACAGTTGGTGGCATGAATCTTGCACCACATATGTAATGGGGGACTTTGTTTGTTTTAATTGTTCAGTGTGACGACTTTAAGCAGATATTACGTTTTTCATTGTTACGTTTCTTTTGCTGCATAAAATAATAACAGTTATAAGTGCCTAGCTCAGCTCAGTATATGGGGTGGTTCATATACAAATTTAAAGAAAATGATTATTTAACCCGGCGCCAAGTAATTTGAGCGGCGATGGAAAATTTAAAGACAATACTAAATTACTAAACTTACTCTCTTTAGTGAGACTTCTTGTGTAAGGGTAAAAATAAATAATAAGAGGTAGAATTTCAATAAAGCCGAAAAAATATATATTAACTTTTCTTCAAGATTTATAAATATATTAAGATTGCCCTAAACTCTTGCAAGAGTCGCTGATTTTGGGAATCAAGACAAACTTAAACCCCAAAAATAACTATCCCAAAACCAGTTACACAGTTAATAATGTAGAATAAC